TATCATTGCTTAGTTCAGAGAACTATGGTTGTGTTAGGGGAGAGGCCTGGAATCTAATTGGCAGTTTGAGAAAAATCTTGTATACAAGTTCTAAAAATTTCAGCAAGTCAGTGGGTCAGAACCACTGGCAGGAATAAGGAAGTATAGCATACTGGTTAAGAACATTCATTTTTTTATATACCTTTTGCAATTAGATTTTTAGGAATTTTGCAGAAATATTTGCACAGGTATGTAAAGAGAAATGTTCAGTGTTCACTGCATCATTGTTTGTAGTAGTAATTAGGAACATGTTCATCAGTAAGCATTGGTTAAATGAATTATGGCACATCTATAGAGTGGAATAGCATGTAGCTATTAAAAAGAATTGAATTAAAAAAGAGTTAAATATCTATTGACATGGGAAAATATCCAAGATATATTCTTAAGCGAAAAAATCAGGTTACAAAATAATATATAGTAATAGTTCCATTTTAATTTTTAAAAATGGTGTGTGTGTACGTGTGTGTGTGTGTGTGTGTGTGTATGCTTGTGTAGAAAAGTGGCATACATATTTCTTTATTTTTATTAAGTGTTTGTTTATTTTTGAGAGGAGGACAGAGGATCTGAAGTGGGCTCCGTGCTGACACAAACAAGCCCAATGTGGGGCTTGAACTTACAAACCATGAGATCATTACCTGAGCTGAAGTCGGATACTCAACCGACTGAATCACCCAGTGCCCCTTCCTTCATTTTTAATTTAACTTTTTTTGAAGAGGTTTAAAATTTAATTTATGCAGTTTAAAATTGAAAAAGTACAGAAGAATACTTAGTGAAAAATTTTGTTCCTGCCCCTCCCTGTTCCCCAGTTCCCTTCCCTGTGGACAACCAGTGTCAATGATTTTCTTCTAGAGATAATTGTACACATTCATGCAAATAAGTATATTCATCGTATATTTTATACTTGTCACATCAAACTTGTAATAGTAGTTCTCTCTGGAAAGTAGGAGAAGGGAGCCAGGAGAGTAAATTTTTACTTCAGTAGCATTTGAATTGTGTACAATGAGCATGTATTACTTTTCCTAAAATAATTTTTAACAGAGCATTTTCTAAAAGAATAAAATAAAAACATTCACAGCAAAAAGCATGGGCTTGGGAATCAGGCAGGTCCAAGTTTGAATCCCAGCTCTGACACAAATTCACTGTGTGATTTTAACAAGTTAATTAACCCTGCACCTTAGTGTCCTCATTATATCTCTTCTATAGGTAAAGCTTCCCCTCAGGTTGTTGGAGGACTAAATGAGATTATGTATGTAAAGTGCCTATCACAGGGCCTGACACATAGTAAATGCTTAATAAATGGTAACTCTTATAAATAAAATGATGAAGATTAAAGGTGATGGTGGTGGTGATAGTGATGATGGTGTGGGTATAGCCAGAAGCTAAGTAGATCATCAGAAACCCTGAAACACATAGGCAGAGGCAGAAGAAGACCGTAAGAGTGATCGCCTGGACACTCAGAACACCAGACAGGAAGAGTCAAGAGCCAAGTAAAGTATGAACAGTAGAGGAATACAAGCATCAAGGATACCTTCATAGCCTTTTTGTAGGAAAAGGCCTTCAGATCCCACTTAGCTGAGAAATCAGTGAAAAGGGAATGTGAGAGCAGGGCAGATTCTGAAAGCAGCAGAGCTGTTCTTGGGGTTTGAGAATCTAGTTACTAAATAATAATAGACTGTTGAGCATTGTCTTTGTCCATGGTCGATCTCCTGGGTAGTAAAAAATTGAGAATCCTAAGGATCCAACCTATAATGGCTGTTGAGAATACAATGAGACATTTTCCCCTTCCCCACCAGTCTCTTTTTATGTTGCTTCTGTCACCTCCTGCAGCTGCCAGAGACTGCTGTTAAGTCAACCTAAAGAGACAAGGTACGGAAATATTTACAGACAATATGATATTATGGCTGGGCTTTTCTCCAGAATAATCCGAGGTATAGACGAAACAAGACTGGTTATTGATAATTGCTGAAACTTAGCTGAATGTAAGGTACATGAGAGTTTTTTATACTTTTATATTTTTGTATATGTTACACATTTTTCACAATTAAAAGTTAATAAAAGATCCAGGGTATAAATAGCTGCCATTTATTGAGCTTCTGCTTTGCGTCAGATTTTATTTTAGCTGTTTAGTACATTATTTAGTCCTCACAACAACCTTGAAGTGTTGTTATCCCCATTTTATTAATATGGAAACTGAGGCCCAGAGAACTTAATTATAAGATTAACTACCATTGGGCACTTGCCTTGTGTTGGGCTCTTCATTAGCTCATTTAATCCTCCTAAAACCCTGTGGGGTAGGAAACAGGTCAGTTTAATGTCAGCCAATTTACTGAAAGAAAGCCAGTTCACCAAATGGCTGCTGAATGTATCAAGTATACTGATTTACCAAAAACTGGTTTCTTTTTAACTATATGGTTTATTTCAACAGTTTTTACTGGTTAATATTGTTTGCCATATGTAACAGGATTATTTAAGCCATTTTTAAATTTTTAATTTTTTCCATTTCCTATATATATATATATATACACACACACATATATATGCATACATCTATATATACACATATATAGGAAGTATATATATATACATATATGTATATAGGAAGTATGTGTATATATACATATAAAGTTTGTTTGTTTTGAGAGAGACAGAGCGCAAGTGTAAGCAGGGGAGGGGCAGAGAGAGAGAGGGAGAGAGAGTATCCCAAGCAGGGTCTGCACCGTCAGCATAGACCCAAGTGTACGGCTCGAACTCACAAAGCATGAGATCACGACCTGAGTCGAAATAAAGTCCTATGCTCAACTGACTGAGCCACCCAGGTGCCCCTTTATGTATTTTTAATAGCTTTTTTTGAGGTATAATTTATATACCATACAATTAAATGACTTTTAGTAAATTTAAAGAATGTGCAACTATCACCACAGTCCAATTTTAGAACATTTCTATCACCCCGAAAAGATGCCTCATGCTCACTCATACTTAGTCCTTTGGTTCTCTTCTCCAAGCCCAAGCAACCACTAATCTACTTTCTGTCTCTGTAGATTTGTCTTTTCTAGACATTTCATATAAATGGAAAAATATAATACGTGGTCTTCTATGTCTGGCTTCTTTCACTTGTTTTTGAGGTTCATCCATGATGTAGTATGTATCATTAATTGGTTCCTTTCTACTGCTGAATAGTATACCATTCTATGGATATACCATATTTTGTTTATCCATTAACTAGCTGACAGTCATTTGGAGTGATTCCACTTTTTGACTGTTATGAATAATGGTGTGATGAGCATTTGCGTACAAGTTTTTGTATGGGCATATGTTTTCATTTCTCACTTAGTAAAATTTTGGGTCATATGGTAACGTTATGTTTAACTCTTTAAGAAACTGCCAAAATTTATTCTGAAGTGTGTGTACTACTTTATGTTCCCACCAGAAGTATACTGGCTAACATTGTTATTGTCTGTCTTTTTTATTATAGCCATTCTAATGGATATTAAGTGGTATCTCATTGTGGTTTTGATTTGCGTTTTCCCAATAACTACTGATACTAAGCATCTTTTTGTGTGATTATTGGGCATTTGTATATCATCTTTAGAGAAATGTCTATTCAGATATTTTGCTCATTATTAAATTGGCTTGCTTGTCTTATTATTGAGTTCTAAAAGTTATTTAAATATTCTGGCTACAAATCCTTTCCCAAATAAATGACTTGTAAATATTTCCTCCCAGTCTATGGCTTATCTTTTCACTTTCTTAATGGCATCTTTTGAAGCACAAATGTGTTGATTTTTACCTAATCCCAGGTCAAAAAGATATTTTCCTGTATTTATTTCTAGAAGTTTTATAGTTTTAGCTTTACATTTATCTCCAGGATCCATTTTGAGTTAATTTTTGTATATGATGTGAGGTAAGAATCCACATTCATTTATTTGCATGTGATACCCAGTTATCTTAGCACCATTTGTTGAAAAGACCATCCCTTCTCCCACTGAATTGCCTTGGCACCTTTGGCAGAATGCAACTGACCATAAATTTAAGGGTTAGTTTTAGACTCACAGCTCTGTTCCACTGTTGTATATGTCTGTCCTTATGCTCATATCACACTACCTTGATTGTTGTTTTATAGTAAATTTTGAAACCAAGTAGTAAAAGTCCTCCAACTTTGTTCTTTTTCAAAATTCATTTGCCCATGTTAAGTCCTTTGTATGCCTATATACATTTTAGTATCAGCTTATTAATTTATGCAAAAGAAATTAGCTGGATTTTAATAGAGATTGCATTGAATCTGTAGACCAGTTTGGGGGGTGGGGCTTGCCTTCTTAAGAATATTGAATGTGACTTTTTATGCTCTCCTTCTCTTCCTTTTTAGTGCCAAGAGGGTAAAGAGCTTATCTAAGTCTCGGCGAGCCAAGCTCACAAAGAAAGCAGATAAGGCTAGGCTGGTGGTGGAACAGGTGATGGAGGATGAATTTGACTTGGATTCAGATGATGAACTGCAAATTGACGAGAGATTGGGAAAGGAGAAGGCAACCTTGATAATAAGACCAAGTGTGTACCTTTCTTGTTCCTTCCCTGCCCATTTCACATTTGTTTCTGGTACCCTTGATAGACCAGAGGCCTTAGGCCTGAGCTTTTTGACATTCTGATTTACAAGCTCTTTAGGCCTCCATGTATTCTCTGCTCTAGAGATTTATATATAAACCAGTCCAAACCTCCCTCAATTAGTTTTCTGTGGTCATTACTTTTAGGAAAATTATAGTCTTACTTTTCCCCCTGGGTGTTTGGCTCAGATGCTTATCTTAGCTTCATGATAAATGCATTTCATTATTTTCTAGAATTTCCTCGAAAGTTGCCCCGTGCAAAGCCTTGCTCTGACCCCAACCGAGTTCGGGAACCAGGAGAAGTTGAGTTTGACATTGAGGTAGGAGCCTGCTCTGTGTCTAGTCTTCTGCCATCTGGTTACAGAGACAGAAGACAGATTGTCATTCTAGTTGGAGGTAAAAAGATACCCCATGCATTCAATTCCTAAAATATTTATTAAGTGAAAGATTGTGTGCTAAGTACAGCTAAGCTTATAACTGGGAGATCATAATTTAGTTGACATATTTTAAAAATCCTTTAATGCAGTGGAGTGCCTAGCTGGCTCACTCGGTTAGGCTTCCAACTCTTGATTTTGGCTCAGGTCATGATCTCACCGTTTGTGAGATAGAGCCCTAAGTCAGGCTCTGCACTGACAGCATGGAGCCTGCTTGGGATTTCTCCTTCTCCATCTCTCTCTGCCCCTCCCCCACTCACACTTTCTGTGTTTCCAAACAAACAAACAAACATTAAAAAAATCCTTTCATGCCGGGTAGAAGAAAAGGCACTGCAATGTAGCAGAAAGAGTATCTGATTTGGAATATCTGATTATGACGTTACACAAATTATTTACTGAGCCTTAGCTTCCTTATCTGTAAAATGGGAGTTAACAATACCTACCTCACCAAGATGCTGTGAAGATTAAAATACTTGGTGCTTAGAAGATACTAGTATCCGGAGTGAAAATGTCAACACTGTATTGGGGCCTAACTAGACCAACCCTCAGCAGCTGAGGTGATATCCTCTTTCCCCAACAGGAGGACTATACAACAGATGAGGACATGGTAGAAGGGGTCGAAGGCAAGCTTGGGAATGGGAGTGGTGCTGGTGGAATTCTTGATCTGCTCAAGGCCAGCAGGCAGGTGGGGGGACCTGACTATGCTGCCCTCACGTGAGTACTGTCTTTGATCTCCCCTTTCCAGGTGATCAGACGCCACACCCTCCCACCCCCACCCAAAAGACTAGATCAGCCAGTCAGCAGATATTTATCAAGATATTTAAAGGGACAAAGAATTAGCAAAGGCATTCAGGCTGAGAGACTAAAACAGACATGAAATCTGTCCTGGGGAACTTAAGATCTGACAGAAAGTGGATGTATATATAGACTTCAAAAGGGATCAATTTGGGGTTTTTTGGGACTTGGAAGAGGGACTGGAAGGGGCATGGAAGGAAAACTGGGCCTTTTCTGGGCCTTGTTTAAAAAATGAAAGAATTCAGCATGGGCGAACAGTGAGGGAGGTGCACCCCTCTTTTTGCCACCTTCCTGTTGTCTGCGGAAAGACTTGAGGCAAGAAGGACTGTCCTTGATGTGAAGACAGTCTTTGATATACTGTCTTGGTCCATTGGCTTGATTTCTGGTTTCTCATCTGGAATTGTTCTCTCCTTCCTCCCACCCTAAGCCCCACTATTGTCCCTTCTCCCTGACTGTTCTGATGACTATTTTCCTCTGACAACTACAGAAACTCCCTCAGCATTTCTCCTGTCCCTTGCAGCGAGGCCCCTGCCTCTCCCAGCACTCAGGAGGCCATCCAAGGCATGCTGTGCATGGCCAACCTGCAGTCCTCATCGTCCTCACCAGCTACCTCCAGCCTGCAGGCCTGGTGGACTGGGGGCCAGGACCGAAGCAGTGGGAGCTCCAGCAGTGGGCTGGGCACAGTGTCTAGCAGTCCTGCTTCCCAGCGCACCCCAGGGAAGCGGCCCATCAAGCGTCCAGCATACTGGAGAACCGAGAGCGAGGAGGAGGAAGAGAATGCCAGTCTGGATGAACAGGACAGCTTGGGAGCATGCTTCAAGGATGCAGAGTATAGTAAGGGTCCAGGCCAGAAGCGCTCCCCCTAGTCCCAGTCTCAAACCCAGTCCCAATCCAGGATAACCTGGGACAGTAGTGAGCAAAGACCTTGCCTTAAGCCTGATGCTTGCCTTCTTTGAGCCATGTTTTCTTAATCTGTAAAATGGAAATACCTACAGGTTGATTCAAGAATTAGAGATGGTGTTTGTCCAGAGCACCTGGCACATTGTCTTGCTCATGGAAGACCCTCAAAAAATGGTAGCCATTATAATTAGCTATCATCCATTTTTAAAATTGTCTAACCTCCTTTGCTGGTAATTCTTTTTTCCCTTCTTGCCTGTTTTACCTCCATCACTTCCACTTCTCTGTTTGGTTCATCCCTTGCAAAGGTATATAATGACCTTTCAGCGGGCTTTTTACATTTAAGAGATGACCTTTTTTTAAGTTAAGATTTATTAAGTACTACAGTATATAAAGCACTTTTTTTATATAGTGCAGTTGACTTTAATGTGGGTTTTAATGTTGTTTTTTTAAAATTCTCATTGATCAAAATTCAAACAAGACTGAGAAAGCAAAAGAGCCCTTTGACTAATACTCTTCCTCCTCTGAGGAAGGTTACTTGAAGGTAACCTGTGCTATTAGTTGATGTATACCTTTCATTTTCTTGTACTTACAACCACATGTGGACATAAATACATAGGGTTTTGTGTAGTATACATGGTTCTACAATTTGCTTGGATATCTTTCGATATCACTGATATCACATGGAGATCTATCTGCTTGATCAATAACATTGAGATCTACCTGTTGCATAGTAGCCTATAGCATAGATGTGCCACCATCTGTTTAACCATTGCCTTCTGATTAACATTTAGGTTGTTTCTGATTTTTTAGTTTGACTAACAATGCTGCATTGAAAATGCTTGTAAATAACTCTTGGTGTGCATGTGCCAGCTAACATTTCTATAGGGTAGCTAGACCTGCTGGATTGAAAGGTATGTATAAAATAAATGTTAATAGTGCCAAATTTCCCCGCCAAAAGGGCCAGTATATGAGCAGTGTATGAGACATACATGTTTCCCCACAGCCTTACCAGCTGTGGATATCATCAGTCTTCTTAATTTGTTGCAAATCTGATAGCAAAAGAAATGGTGTTTCAGTTTGTTTTATATGCTTATTGGCTCTTTTTAAATTTATTTTCTGTGAATTGATTCATTCTTTCCCCCAGTTTTCTATTAGGATGTTGATTTTTTTATTGCTATGTAGGAGTGCTTTATATATTCTAGATTTGTTAGAGTGTTTTTTTTAAATAATTTTTTTTAATGTTTATTTATTTTGGGAGACAGAGTGCGGGGGGTGGGGGGCAGAGAGAGAGGGAGGCACAGAATCTGAAGCAAGCTTCAGGCTCTGAGCTGTCAGCACAGAGCCCATTGTGGGGCTCGAACCCACGAAGCGTGGGATCATGACCTGGGCCGAAGTCGGACGCTCAACCGACTGAGCCACCCAGGCCACCCCTAGAGTGGTTTTTTTTTAATTTATATTCTGGAAATGTTGCAAAATGTTTTCTTTTAGTCTGTTGCTTGTATTTTATTTATGGTATCTTTTAGCATGTCGAAGATTTCATTCAGTTTTTACATAGTCATCTTTATTGATTTTTTTTTTGTATTTTATGTCTCGTATAAGAAAACTTTCTTATATTTTTACCTAAAGCGTGTGTAGAAGTCAAAATTGTATCTCTTTCTCTGGAATTAAGTTTTATGAATTGTGGGAGGTAAGAATGTAAATGTAATTTTTTTCCCATATGGATAGTTATTTGCTCTGACACCATTTATTGACTGGTTCATCATTATCCCCCTGGTTTGAAGTTCCGCTTTTGTCATAAACTAAATTCCCATGTGTATGTGGATTTGTTTTTCTACTCTATTTCCAGTTCTGACCTTTAATAGCTATATGACATTGGACAAACTAGTTAACCTCTCTGTGCTTCTCTAATAGTACCTACCTCATAGTTTGTTGTGAGGATTAAATGAATTAATCTACATAAAGCACTCAGAACATTGCCCAGCACATGATAAGTGTTAGATATTATTATTTTCTGTTCTATAAAATTTGTCCATTCCTTTTGTAATACCACATAGGTTAGTTACAATGGGCCTTGTGTCTGGTAGGACAGATCCCCTCTGCAGAACTTGCTTTAGACCTAAAGAGAGCACAAATGCTCAGCAAGCCCATCATCTCTGAGTGGAGCTGTGATTGGTCTTAGGGGCCTTCCAAGTTCCCCTGGCCGCCCACCATACCTTCAGCAGACAGTCGAATCAGCCTACAGCTAAGACATCTGCCCCTGGCCTAACTACTTCCTTTTGTTCCCTGCTTTACCCAGCAACACGAGAAAGGCAGTTTAATAAGGAGATACTGATCTACTTGTTCTTATTTTTCCTGAATTTCCAGGCCATTATTGAGTTTTTTCTATTCCAGATGGATTTTAGAATCGGCTTGTCAAATTACATGGAAAATTATATTAGGATTTTTTTAATTAGGATCTCATGCATTTGTAGATAAATTTATGGAGACTGACATCTTCCATCAGAGAGGCCTTTCTGCTCTAATGGGATGTATGTATTCTTGAAAAACTTCTTGTCCTGAAAATGTGTACACTAAAAATAATAGGGCTTACAAGAAAAAGAGGGTTAAGAGCACACCCCTCAAAGTCTCTGTGGCTTTGAAGGCAAAACACCCAAATAATGACAGTCCTAATAATAATCCTTGCCCAGTTAGCAAGGCATTGGCATTTGCACCCAGCATCAGAATCAGTGGTTTCTTTGTAGCCTTAAACCCTGGGCTCAGGCTTTTTCCTTCCAGATGTGGGTTCTTGAGGGCATTTGCTTAAGATAGATACCAGCTTCATCAAATTAAAATCTGATTCAGGGCCTAGTCTTCAGCAGTCTTTTTGTCTTTTTTAAACATAGGGCAAATGTCTTCACAACTTCCTCATCTGCTTTCTTAGCTATCCTCCTCCCACCGGAGCTTCATTTTGTAGGAAACAAAGGCACCATTTTCTCTTCCTCTAGTGGGAGGCACTATTGCAGGATTTTCAGCTTCTGTCTGTAGGTATTCATATATTCTAGGGCTTTCTCTGTAATTGTGAGAAAATTCATCCCTGATTGGTTAAAAATAACATGCCAAAGAAAATTGCTTTGGAACCAGTGTAATTTCTGGATGACTTTGACGTCATTTGGACATGAGCAGTCACAAAACAGGCCATCTCGTCCTTCTGTCTTCAAACATGGTCTATCTCTCTATTCATGTGGGTTTTCTTGTATATCTGTTCAGTTTATTTACTAGGTGTTTTAAAGTTTGGTTCCTATTGAAAGTGGCATCTTTTCGTCTATTACATTTTCCATTTGGCTGTTGCTAGTATGCAGGAAAATAATTGATTTTTCTATTTTGATCCTGTATTGGATTACCTTACTATGCTCTTATTAGTTGTTTCAGTTAATGGTCTTGGGCTCTTGAGGTAGATAATCTGTGTCCCCTATCTTAGTCTGCTAGAGCTGCTATAACAAAATGCCACAGGCTATATGGCTTAAACAACAGACATTTATTTTCTCACGGTTCTGGAGGCTGGAAGTCCAAAATCAAAGTACTAGCAGTGTTAGGTTCCCCTGAGGCCTCTCCTTGGCTTGCAGATGATCTCCCTCTTACTGCTTCCTCACCTGATCTTCCCTTTGTGAACATAGGCCCCTGATGTCTCTATGTATATCCTAATCTCTTCTTAAAAGGACACATATTGGATCAGGGCCCACCCTAGTGGCCTCATTTTAACTGAATTATCTCTGAAAGCCTTATCTCCAAATATAGACATATTCTGAGGTACTAGGGGTTAGGAATTCAACATATGAAATTGGGGGGGCAGGACACAATTTAGCTCATAATATCCCTTTTCTTTCTAGTGTTCGATAGCTCTAGATTTTTCTAGTTTTATCACACTGTTGAATAGTAACAGTGATAGGGGGCGTCCTTGTATTGTTTCTGACTTTAAAGGTAATGCTGCCAGTATTTCTCCACTTGATACATAGGGCTCTCTGTAGGTCTCTGATAGGCGGTGTTCATGAAGTTCAGGGGGGAGTATCGATCTCTAGTTTGAGAGGTTTTTGTTTGTTTGTTTTAATCAAACAGAATTAGGTTTTGGCAAATGGTTTTTTGGCATCTTTTGATTATAAGTGCATAGTTTTTCTTGTTAATTTGTTAATTGTAATATATGTTAATAAAATTACTGATTTTGAGTTGACATTTCCTTCTTGGGATTGGCTGTACTTGATCATGGTGTTTAACAGTAGTTTGTTTATTTAGTTCATTTGACTACTAATCATCTTGTTTGTTTACTATTAATTTCTGGTTTTATTTTAGTCCTTTTTCTTAATGCTCTTTGCACAACACCTCAAGTTGAAAGCTCTGTTCCTTTCTTTTCAGTCTCTTTTCCCTTTTGATAAAGGGTTTTTTAAATTTTATTTTTCAAATCAGCATGAAGTAAAATTGGCTTTGCTGCTATAACATGTTTAGATTCTTGTAACCACCACCATAATGAGCATACAGAACCTCCTCACACTCCCTTATGTTGTCCCTTGGTAACCGTGCTCTCCCTCTACCCTAACGCCTAGCAAACACCGATTTCATCTCCATCCCTGTGGTTTTGGCCTTTGCCAGAATGTCATGTAAGTGGAGTTATGCAGTATATAATATTTTCAGATTAGCATCTATTATTCAGTATAGATGTTCTTATGTATCAATAGATGTTTCCTTTTTACTGCTCTCGTCCATTGTAAACCACAGTTTCTTTATCCATTCGCCCGTTGAAGGACATTTGGGTTGTTTATAGCTTTGGATGAGCTGCTGTGAACATTCATGTGCAGGCTTTTGTGTGAACATGAGTCTTCATTTCTCTAGGGTAAATGCCTTAGAATGGGATTCCTGGACTGTATGGGCAGTGGATAAGAAATGGCCAAGGTGTTTCCCAGAGTGGTTGTGCCACTTTACATTCCTGCCAATAATGTATGAGAGTTCCAATTGCTCCACATACTTTTCAGCACTTGATATTGTCATTGTATTTATTTTAGCCATCCTAATAAGTGTATAGTGATATGTCATTTAATGGGTTTTCTAGTGTCTAATGATGTATCTATTGACCATTCATGCATCTCTCTTTTGAGATGTCTTTAAATAGACGCTTTGAATTACTTGCCTATATTTTTTTAGAGGTA